GCAATAAAGTGAGACTCTGTCTCTAAAAAAAAAAGAAAATGCATTCCTTTATCCTTCTTTATATGAGCTATTTTCTAACAGTTAGATCTTATAATTTATTTATTTATTTATTTGGACACAGGGTCTCACTTTGTTGTCCAGGCTAAAGTACAGAGATGTCATCACAGCTTGCTGCAACTTTGGGCTCATGCCATCCTTTTGCCACAGCCTCCCAGGTATCAGGGATGAGAGGTCTACACCACTACACCTGGATAATTTTTCTATTTTTTAAGTATAGAAATAGAGTCTCACTATGTAGTTCAGGCTGGCTTCCAACTCTTGGGCTCAAACAATCCTCCTGTCTCAATCTCCAAAAGGGCTGGGGTTCCGGGCATGAGCCATTGCACCTGGTTCTTTTAAATAAATCTTTAAAATGTGAAATCATAACTAGATTCAATTTGGGGAATTTGGGGGGTTCCAAATAGTATAGTTTTTAAAGTAATTATCACTGTGGAATGTAAATAAAGTAATAATTAATTATAAGCACTACTCTTAAACATCAGGATATCTTGTGATGCTTATAAAACAGGAATATTCCTCTCCCCTACATGCTATGGGTTGAAAAATTTGTTAATGGCCACATCTGTAGGTTCACAGTACAATGCTAAATGATGTTTACCTGAGACTGTTGCTTTTTTAATCAAAAATAAATCAGGCATATACATTCAAGATGTAATAAGAAAAACTTGTCTGCTATCCAAGAGCTGCATATTAAAATACAAAGCAGCTTCTTAAACATTAAGGATGAGTACAATACATTTTACTACAAAAAGGCACAGACTATAACCGGCTGAGATGTTCAAAAATCACTGACTTTGAAGGTCTAGTGAATTCTTTTCAGGATTTGTAATCGCAAGTAAATTTCTGATTAATAGCTCTGAATTTCAGTTTGTTCATCTGTAAAATGGGAAAGATGACATAAGAAAATAAACAATAAATAAATAAATTGTCCAGGAATGTATGTGGTGAGGATTAAATGAGATAAGGCCCGTGAAAGGGGCTTTGAAACTGTCAAGACTTGTACAAATGTTAACCTGTACCAAATGTTAAAAATAGTATTTTCTGCACGACTATATTATCTTAGTAATTTTGCCTAAGTGAAGGTGGTTGCTTGGAGAAAGGTTGGGCTTTTAGAAATTGAAGTAAACTTCTGAGATGAAGCTAGCTTGAGGCCAGTACTCCAGGCAAATGAGGAAATCACAGAAACTGTTACTTTGTCTGCTTTGGCCCTAGAAGGTCATACGTTGCTCTGTAGTTTTTGTCTCAGGTGATCAAACGCTGACCTGAAGCAACCCCAGCTCCTTGGAAGGTCCTCCCCCCTCCTTTTGTATCAACACAATCGCCCCGGTCCCTCCCCATCCTCTTTAGCCCCCAAGGAGTGTATGTGTGTGCGGAACACATCTTCAGCCCAGAACCCCCTGCTACGCCTAAGGGGAAGGTGTCGTGACGTCGCGCGGTCTGGATACCTCGTCCCTCCCCCGTCCTGGGTCCCCAGCTCCCCGCGCGGTCCCCGCAGCGGCC